TCTCTCTCTCTCTCTCTCTCTCTCTCTCTCTCTCTCTCTCTCTCTCTCTCTCTCCCCAGACCATGCCCCTAGGAAAGCCCATCAAGAGTCAGCCTCTCCCCAGGGTTGCTCAAGACCACGCCTACAGGCTACTTAAGACCTGGTCGCCATATCTGCCATGTGTTCTCATGTTCTCCCCACTGCCCTTCTTGATCCCATCTCCTCCTCTGGCTTGTTTGGTTTGTGATGCCATCTTTATGATACACAGAGCACAGGAGGCCATGGCAGGTTGGACCAAGGTGCCCATCTGGGGTGAGACACCCCATGTGGGTAAGTTACTCACACAGCAGACGTGGCGTCCACATGGCATATTTATTTTGGGGTTTGGGGGAGGAGAGAGGGAATGGAGGGAAGGAGAAAGAAGAGAGAGAGAAATAGAAAGAGAGAAGGGGGACGTGCTACCTCTGGCAAGGGGGGAGAGAAGGGAGAGGGTTTTTTTTTCCTCTTAAGGAGGCTTTAATGTAAGATGACATTAGGATGCTGGGTGGGTCTCCAAGGGGTAGGTCAGAATACTAACATTCTTCAGTTTTGATTATTATAAAAAGGTAAGTTATGGATAGCAAGTGGGGGTTACATAGGCACTGAATTCTCAAGACTGCTTCCTGCTGATTTGGGGGCAAAGTGGGGCCGAGAAGTTGGGAGTCGGGGTCATGAATGGCAGGAGATGTGAGTGAAGAAGCATCATTGTGGAGGCCTAAGGCATCTGTTCCTCGAAGGAGCTGAAAAGACAGTTGCAGCAGTGATGTTCCAGGAGCTTGGGGGAATGGCATGCCAAATCAGGAGTATAGGAGCCATCACACCTGCTGTTTCTCTGGAGGTGGAAATGCCTGTATTCATCCTGTAAAAAGTGTCAATGAATTAGGAAATAGCAGAGTTTTTATGAGTGGGCATTTGGGTGAAGTTAAGTTGGTTGGCATTCGTGGTTGGTGGTTGGGAGCCTCAGAGCTGGTGCAGGGGCTGGTGGTGTATCTGAAGAGCTCCTAAGGGTTGGTCTTGGCACAAGTCTGGCAGAAGGGACGGATCTGTGCAGGAACCTGTAAGTATCTGTAAAGCAACTGGAAAAGATTTATATCTTGGTGCCATAGCAAAAGCTATAGCTTTGGGTTAAAAGGTATGACCATTACCTGGCTTCAGCTCAATGAAACATATAT